TTGGGATCTTGTACCTTTACATGACAGGTCTTGGTTCTCATTTTTCCCCCTTGTCCCTGCCCTCCCTTTACCCGCTTCCTCCCCTCCCCATTTACAAACACTTTATTTCCATTTTTTCATTTTCCCACATTTTTTTTTCCTTATTGCCTTTCCCCCACCCTTCCCACTTTCCCTACACCTTTAGCCCTTTTCTTCCTATTTCACATTGTCAATTATGTCATTAGGATCTTATGTACTATTATAGTTTTTCACACCAGAGAAACTATTCAGTATTTACACGTGTGACTTATTTATTTCACTAGGAGTATATTCTCAATATGTATCCATTTTCCTATGAATGAATCTAATGTCTCATTCTTTATGGCTGAGTAGTATTCCATTTTATAGAAAAACCACATCTTTATCCAATTTGTAACTTTTGGGCAAATGGGCTCTTTCCAAGGATAGCAGGCATTCTTCCTGGGGTGAGGTAAAATCTCATTGTTGTTTTCATCTACATCTCTTGAATGACCAGTGATGTTGAACATTTTTTATATTTATTTGCTGATTTTACTTCTTTGTCTGAGAAATGACTGTTCATTTCAGATGCCCATTTTTGAATTGGATGTTTATATTTGGGGGTCTGATTTTTTAAATTCTTTATATATTTAGACAATAGTTCTTTGTCTGAGAAACAGATGATAAAATTTTTTCCCCACCTTATAGGTTGTCCCTTAGCTCTGTTGGTGATTTCTCTTGCAGTGCAGAAGCTTTTTAATAAGATGAGATCCCAGTTGTTGATTCCTTTGCATTTGGCTAGCATCTACCATTTTTGAAGATATTAAACTAAAGTAGGACAAGGGCAGGGTGCCTGAAAGAGTTACCCATAGGACTAACAGATAGTTAAAAAGAAAAAAAAAACACTAAAGAGGAAGTGCGAAAAGTACCTCTTAATTCCTTTGCACAATCCCTGGGGAGCTAAGTAAAAAACAAAAATTCAAAATACAATTAGAAAACAAATTCACAGGAAGGCCAAAGAAAGAATCTCTTTGTCCACAGAAGCAATTTAACTCCTTCATAAGCTTTAATAGACGAGACATCCAGGGCACTTGTCCAAGAACCGAGGCCAGAGAATGTATTCTAACAGGGAGATTTGGGGGAGGGGGAAGGTAGGAGAAAGTAAATAATGTCATAAAGAATGAGTAAATATTATTTTAAAGTGAGTACCAGGGAGTGGGATGAACAGGTGGCATGACTGGACAATGATAAGGAAAGGTTTTTCCTTGGGATCAACTGGAAAGGGACTTCTGGGGAGTGGCATCTCAATACTCCTTTAGGTTGTGAGTGGATTGAAAGCCAAAGGCTTTGGAGAGGGAGAGAAAGTTGACCAAAGGTTGGTCAAGGAAAGCCCTTTAAAGGCCAGATGGGTCAGTGGACACAAAGGGATGAGGTAATCATTTATGAGCTGAGAATGAGAAATAGGAGGGTCTGTTTATGGGCTTGTCATCTGTAAACAAGGGAGTTATCCATGGTCTTATCTAAGTTCTGTCCGGAGATGTGGTTCTGCTCAGTTAGTGGTTTCCTGTAAAATAAAATAGGGGAGGGACCTCTTTAATTGTCACTGTTTTCCAGGATTACAAAGGTGGAGTCAAGTTCAATATCATCCTTTATTTGAATGTATTTATGACTACAGTTCTACTGTGATTAGAAAATATTAATCAGAATGTGTCATTGTGATAACAAGTCTCTATCAGGCATTCCCTGCATCTTCAACATCAGGACAGTTGGTGGTTGTAAACGTAAGTTTGCTTTTCATGCTGGTTATTACAACTGGCCTTAAAGCTTATCTTTCCATACTATGCTCTTTGACCTGGGGCTGGGACTCAGCCAACCAGGTTTCCTGTAAGGTTTTACCAACAGGAAGGTGCTGGAAGAGAGCACAAGGCTGGCAGCAGGAGCAGGACCTTGCTCCTTCACACTTGCTTGACCTTCCTGTAGCATTACCCAGCAAGGTCTCTTCCTGACTGCCGTAGTTGGCGCCAGTTTCTAGGGTTCAATCCACCCTCAAGTTTTGCCTTGAGAAGCAGTGGCACCAGCCAGGGACCACCCTCTCCTCAGGGGTCTGTGTCTCCCTAGGGGCTGTCTCCCTGCTCTCAGGATCCCTAGCTCAGTGGCACCTGCTTCTCTGGTTGCCTTTCCAATCCTCCATGACCTGCTCCAGCAATTCCTTAAATTCTGTGTAAAAATTATTACTGTAATGTCTGTTTTCTCACTGGGCCCTGACTTACAGAATGCTTACCCATTGAGAAAGATCTTCTAAGCCACTTGTGCAGAATTATGGGTATATATTTATTGCCATAACTTAAAAAACGAATTACTCTTATGGCATGCAGGTGGTATTCAACAGGCAAGGCATACTGTGCAAGTTTATCTATAACTCCATTGTTTGGATTTTGAAATATTTTTCCCTATCAAAATAATATACATTTAAGTTAGATAGGTCCATTCATGTTCATAATGTAAGTGAAATATGTCATGGTTCAAATTGTGTCGGGCACCAGAATTAGCACTGCTTTCTCAACATATATTTAAAGATCTAGCTATCATACCAGTAATAAAATTTAACTGTCTTTTCTGAGAGTAAACAGTGTGTTGTTCGAGGCTGGGGTTGTAGCAGAGAGGTAGAACACTTGCCTAGAATAAGGGAGGCCCTGGGTTCTACCTCCCCAGCACAATAGCAACACAAAAGCATCTTTGTAAGTATTTTATGAACTTATTTGAAACACACTCAAAATACATTTGACATGAGCACAGGAAGAAAAAATTAGTCAAGTGAAAATGGAGGAAACACAGTTTATTCTAAAAAGTGACAGGTGTAAATGAAAATTTATCAACTTAATTTCATAAGGCATTGTGAGGATTTCACAGCATACTTGCCTTTACCTAGATTTACTTAAGGAAAGAAAAAAATATTATTTTGTCCTTTTGTAAATATATTCATGTGAGCTATGGATAAATGAAAACAAATGGCAGTTTCATACTTCTACTTTGGATTAAAATGCAAATTAAGTGTATTTTGCAGAACATATTTTCAGTTCATACTTTTGTTTTCATGATAAAAATAAATAAATCACAGATTGAAAAGTGCTTGTCTATTCCCCTTGTTCTAGATCTTGCACACAACACATTATAAGAAAATTACTTTCCTACATAGAATCAAAGCTAGATGCCCTAATATTGTCATTAATACTATTAACACCTATGACATCGTCACTGCTAGTGGCGTTTCCCAGGGACGTTCTGGCATGGGGTGAAAGTACAGAGGAAAGTGTGGGAACAGGGGGTCCAAAGTGATCCTTGCAGAACTGCAGAATTGTAAAGCATAGAAAAGGTTAGGGCTTAACCCAAAGGACGGGTGGGTTTAACAGATCACCGTGGTATGGTTCATTTGTGCTTCCCTTAGGGGGCACTGCTGGCTTCTGCTTCGGTGTCCTTGTGTGAGGTCTCAGCGGGCACTCAAAAGAGCATCTAATTTCTTCAAGGCTGAAGTTCAAGAGTTCAAGAGAGTGAGCCTCAGGGACTCAGTGTTTCCTTTCAGACCAACCCTGCCAGCCTCATCTGGGTTCTCCCTTGGTAACGACCTCCTGTAGTTGGGATGGTGGACGCCAAGCAAAGCACACTGGTTACGGTGCCACCCCGCCCCCCGCCCATTCACAAGCTCTCAGCGGTACCTGAGCTCCAGGGGACGCCATGGATAGGCACGCGTCTACGCACGAGGCTTCTCCAGTACTTGAAGGATTGTACATTGACGTGAAGGTGAGTTGCTAAATGACACAAAGATGAATAAGACCTCTGTGCTGCTTTCCAGAAGTTAAAAATCCAGTGGATGACCCAGACACAATATTCCTCTTCCTACAAGGAAATGTGTCTCAACTTTGGTAATTCACTAAAGCCAAGTGCTGCAAGGGTGGAAGAGAGGTATAGTCACTTTTCATACAACTGTGGGTTGTTCCGTCATTTCATTGATCTTAATTTTTACATGTGAAATATAAATGTGAATGCGATGAGGTTTTTTGCTGTTGATTGTTGTTTTCTTTTCTGAGCTGGGTCTTGAGCCGTGGGCCTCACCTATGCTAAGCTTGTGCTCTCCTACTGCACTATAAGCCAGCCACTTAGGAATTCGTAAATGCTAAATTTGGTAAGCAAGGTTCATCTGGAACACAACATATCCAGCGAGATCATTTCTACGCTTTACAAGGTATGTAAACAACGTTGGAAGCTGGGCAAGGCAGTGCACTCCTGTAATCCCCAATACTCAGGAGACTGAGGCAGTCAGTTCAAGTTCTGTGGGCCAGCCTGGGCACCCAAGGAAGTGAGGCATTGCCTAAAGAAGAAAAAGAAAGCAAAAAGACTGACGACGCAGCACAGTGGCAAAGCCCCGACAAATTCCATCCTCAATACTTCGGGGAGGGCTTGGGGGTTGACATTTCTGCTTGTTTATAAAACACATTTTTATTTTAAAAATCAGACAAGCAGCACTTTTCTTGCTTTTTGCCTGCGAGGAAGGAAGCCTATTTTTTAGAAGACCACACTTAAGCACCTCGTCCAGACGAAATTGAGAGACCTAGAACCCAGGGCTTACGGAGGAAGAAAGTGGAAGCTTTGGCCC